TTTTTTGGTACCAGGGATTGAACTCGGGACCTTGCACTTGCAAGGCAAGCTGTGGAACCACTGAACTAAATCCCCGGCCCTACCAATAACTCTTTAATCACCTTTTAGATCTTTGATCTCTAGGAATTTATAACCTAAAGTATTGAAGGAACATGCTCAAACCCAGCACCTAAGTGCTATTGGGATCTGAATCTTGTTCCCTGAAAACTCCCTTTCTTGATTACATTTTAAATAATTCAACTTCTGACCTAGTTGTCTGTTTGAGATGAAAGAACTAAATTATTTAGGTGTACCACTAAGCTACATTCTGAAGCGAAACAACGTACCTGACCTGAAGAAGCCAATTGGTATAGTAGGAGAGATAGGTCACACAGTATGCAAAGTAACTAAATGGGAGGCCAGTGAATGCCCAGTGGCTATTATAGAAAGAAATTGCTCCACAGCAAGATTTCTGAACCTCATCACTATCAACATATTGGGCTGGGTAACTTGTTTTTGAGGGGGCTGTTCTGAACATTGTAAGATGTTTTGCAGCATCCTTGGCCTGCACCCACTAGATGCTACTAACAACTCTTTCCTGCCCCATTTGTGACAACCAAAAATGTCTCCAAACATTGCCAAATGTCCCCTGGAAGGCAGAATCACCCCTGCTTGAGAAACCACTGTTCTAGAAGTTTGTAGCACAGAAGCCTTCATTAAAATGGCCAATGAAGGCTTCACAGGAAAGCTAGATTTTAAGCTGGAATGGGAAGATTATGAGAGTACAGTTTGGTTAAATGAGAGAAAAGCATTTTAGGGGAGAAAAAGTATAATACACAAGGCAGATTTGGAGACCAGTATGACCAGTTGGAAGAATGATGCGTAATGAATCAGTGGACTGTGGAAAGTGCATGGGGTCAGGGTGTAGGACCTTGACTGATAGGCCGTGGGGAATCCAATGCACAGCTCCTGAGAGGGTTGTGTCAGCTGGTATGATGGAGGAGGCTTGTTAGACATGCCAGGGCCTTTGTGACCAAGGGTGGCACATCCTGTAGCAGGCTTAAACCATTCTTTTCCCTGTCTTTACTTCTTTGTAGGGGATCAGAAAATACCATCTTCTTTACCACCTATGTGAATGGCTCCTGCAGTAAGTATATTTTAGTTCCAGAACAGATCATCATGCTGTTCATTCATGATAGAGGGTTCTGGGTTATGCAAGGTGGAAACAAAAGATCTTTTTTTTCTCCTGAAATTGTAATACCTATTAATGATTTTTGAAATCTTGAAAGTACAACTGAATTACCACATGCTGTCCAGACCCAATAAAAATATAGGTTATTCAGGGAGGCAGTGTACTTAACCTTAGCAATGTATTTATATAAAGCAAATATTAAGCTAATAGTGAATTAAAAGGTATGATTTCTGCAAGAGTATGAATTATGTTTGTGTTGGTAGAGCCATTGGCTTCCCAGTGAGTGGGATTCCAAAGAAAAATCTTTCATTATTCATTCTGAATACTTGCTATATGCTAAACACTGTTCTAAGGTTGGAGAAAACAAAACATTCAAGGCCTGCGCTCATAAAACATAAATTCATGTTGGGATGTTTAATGATAAACAAGAAAACAAAAACTCAAACAAGATGATTTAAAAGAGAACAAGATAATTTTCAAGTGTACCATGAAGAAAGGGAAGTAATATCATGTGGTTGTGCTATTTTTATGCAACACTATATTAGAATTAAGAGAACTCTATATTTCTATCCAGAATAAAATCTCACATTTGTAAAATAAAACCCAAATGTGAATTCCCTATATCTGGTGCTATATTGACCAGCATGGAAAGGATTAAAAATACGTTTGCTATAAAATTAAGAGCAATTCTAAAGTAACTGTATTGAATTAGACTCATCAGTAAATGAAATTTTAATTGATATTTGGTCTTGTTTAAGAAGCTGACCTTGGAGCACTGGAATTATGGAGAACTGCAGACTTAGGGAAAACCTTCAAAACCATTGGTGTGAAAATCTACTCATTTGGTCTTGGAGGACGTTTCCTTTTTGCCTCTGTGATGGCTGATAAGGTAAGTAGTGGCCTCTTTTCTCTGGGGTGTCATATCTCTGTAGATGTACCTTGCATAGATTTCTTTTATGCTTAATACTGACAGAGTTTCTTGTCTTTTTGCAGTATTCAATGTCACTATAAGGTTTGAGGTGACTTTACAGAGGCTTGATTGATCCTCATGGGCAATTTTGCCCTGTTTGTCACCATGTAAATTCTGTTATTGTATTTTAGTTTTGGAGACCCAGAATTTGGGCTTGACCCTGATGCAGATATCAGGGAAAAAAAGCAAACTACTTGTGCAGTATCCAGTAATAGTAATAAAAATCAAAATAGGTAACACAAAATGACTACTATATACTTATTGCTATTCTAGTTCCCTGAAATATAGCAGTGGACAAAATAGATAAATTTCCTGCTTTCAGGGCTTATTTTCAAATTGGGAAATAGATACTAAGTAAATAAGGGTAACAAGTAGTAATAAAGCTGTGAAGCAGTCTAAAGCAGTGTGAGGAAACAAAGCCACAGAAATTGGGGCAGTGCATTTAAAGACAGGTTGGTTGGGTGGGCTCTCAGAGACCTGTGGAGTGAGAGCATGACCATGTGGACATCTGGGAGCAGGCTGAGGAACACCCAGCACACAGACAGACCCCCTGGCTGGAACATGTCCATCTACTGCAGAAGAGGAGAGAAGAGCAGTGTGGCTGGAGCACAGGGGAGAATGTTCAGTCGTGATCCAGAAAGGGAGCCAGCAGCCAGATTGTACAGGGCCTTTCTAGGTCACAGTAAAGACGTTGGATTTTATTTTTTATGTTTACTCTTTTATGTGCCGTGAGCAGGGGTGTGATGTGCTTTGGCTGGCCTTTTAACAGAATGTGTATGGGCAGATAGCCTGAGAGAGGAGAGAATAGAAGCAGCAAAGGCAGCTGGGAGCTACTGCAGTGACCAAGTAAGAGAGATGGTGGCTGGGAGCAGGCTATAAGCAGTGGGGGAGGGGAGCAGTAGTGAGATTGTAGATATATTTTCAAATATATTACTAATAGGACTTGCTGATGGATTAAGTGTGCACTGTGGGCTGAGCATGGTGGTGCACACGTGTAATCCCAGCCCTCAGGAGGCTGAGACAGGAGGATTGCAAGTTTAAAGCCGGCCTGAACTACATAGCAAGACCCTGTCTTAAAAAAAAAAAAAAAAAAAAGGTACACTGTGTGACGATAAGTGAAAGGATAATTTTGGAGTCTTTGGCCTGAGATGTTGGATGGTTGGAATTGCCCTTTTTCTGAGATGGCAAAGCCTGCAGGAGGAGCAGGGTTTTGGAAGAAAAATCAAGAATTCAGAATTGGGTGTGAGATGCCTGTTGGATATCTAAGAGGACATGTCAAGTAAGCATTTGGGTATATAAATCTCATAAAATTATATGGTATTTAAAACCATGAGACTAGATGTTTTCTTAGGAGGAATGAGTAGGTAGGAGAGATGAGAGGATCAGGGAAGCCCTGAAGGCACCACAACACCGCAAATTGGAAAGAGAAGAATCTAGCACAGACTAGGAGGGGGAGATCAGTGAGGTTAAGGGAAATCCGGCCAGTGTGATACCACAAAAGACAAGGGAAAAAAGTGTTTCAGGAGGAGGAAGTGATCAGCTTTGGTAAACTCAAGTTAGCCGAGTTGGATGAGTTTTGAGAATTTCCTGTGAGAGTTGGCAAAATGAGATTGTTGGTGACCTTAACAAAAACAGTGTCATTGGAGTAGTGAGGTTAAAAGACTGATTGCAGTGGCTTTGGAGAGAACTGAAGTTGAGGAAGTAGCACAGTAAGCACAGACAACTCAAGCGATTTTGTAATAATCCTCCCAACAACCCTATGAGCCAATACTTTAATGTTAGTTTTATAAGTGAAGAAGTTGGGTGACATATATAGGGTCACCCAGTGCTGGTACCTGGTGCGCTGGTGGAAATCAGACTGTCAGATTCCAGATGTAGCCTCCTCAGACTCCTGTGCTACTATTTATTAAAAAATTCTTAAAAAAAAAAAAAAGAAAGAAAAGAAAGAAACATAAAAAATTTCTGCCAAGTGTTTTTGTTTTTGTTTTTTTGGTACCGGGGATCGAACTTGGGTCCTTGTCCTTGCAAGGCAGGCAGTGGAACCACTGAGCTAAATCCCCAGCCCTGCCAAGTGTTTTTGAACTCTAGTTTCTACTTCAAGCAGTGAGAATAAGATACAAAGCAATTAGATATCACAGTATAAGTTAAATAAATAACTTAAATATTCTTATCATTGAACTTTAAAGAGTACTTAACCTAAAGAAGCCAGAAATTAATTCTCATGCCCTGGCTAACTGTATATTTGGTAGCTCTTTTTAAACTGTCAATCCAGGTGTGGTGGCACATACTTGTAATTGAGAAGGATTGTCAGTTTGAGGCCAGCCTGGGCTACAGAGCGAGTTTGAAGACCAGTCTGGATGTAATAGTAAGACCCTGTCTCAAAAACAATCAGAGAGTAGTCTATAATTGCCTTTGTAATATACTCTGTTACCAAATACTCTCTGATCATTTCCTTGTAGTAATTAAGACTCTTCCTTGGCCTGTTCCCAGCCCATGCATGTTTCCTTCATCATGGCTATTCTGCAGGTCCCAAGCGTGGGTTTCATCTCCATTTTCTAATTTCTTTGTCTAATTCTTTGGGTTATGTGAGGACTGTCTGAAAGGGACCAAACTTTTATTCAGCAATCATCATTTTTAGAATTATCTGAGTAAATATATGCAAATAACTGTAAAGCTAAGTCAATGATGGTCCCATCAAATCCTTAGCTCTGCTGAAGGAGATGGGCTATCAGAGATTTGGAGGATCATCGGAATGAAGGGACCAGAGAGAAAACCAAGACAGCTTTACTTCTAATAGAATGGATTGCTCCATAGCCTGGAAGGAGTTAGAAATTGCTTTGATAATTGGTACTGTGACCTTTCTCACAATTGTACCCACTGGGGAAATGAATAATAGTAACTATTAAAAATGTTTCTGTTCATGTCCCCACACATGGCTCTTGACAGAAAATGTAAGGTAGATGTTGGCATATTTTTCTAGGATACAACAAGAAGGATCCACGTGTCAACAGATCAAGGGGACACGTGGAGCATGGCCCAACTTCCTTCTGTGGGACAGGAACAATTCTATTCTATTCTGGCAGCTAATGATGACATGGTATTCATGCATGTAGATGAACCTGGAGGTAAGAATCTTTTAGTCTTTGAATGCATAGAGATTTAAGCTTTAAGCCCTGCTATAAGAAGCTTTCCTTTTTATATGTCAACTTTTCCTGTCATTCCTAGACATTTATTAACATCCTACTGATCGTGAAGATAATGTGTTGCCTCTTTAGTTTTTAGTCTTGCTTTGTAGTTCAGGCTGGCCTTGAACTCTTGGCAATCCTTCTCCCTCAGCCTCCCAAGTGCTGGGATTACAAGCAAGCGCCACCATGCCTGGCTGTGTTGCCTCTTTAAAAGGCCACTTGTATTGATAGTCGCTGTGGTTGGTGTATTCCAGAACAAGTGTTTTAGCAGTGAGCTGCTCAGAATAGTCTGCAGTATTGGCAGGCTTGGTATTGATTTGCTGTTATCAGGAAAGGAATTCAGAGCATTTAGAAACAGCCATTTGACAAAGTAATTTTATATCTGTTGAATCTAATGATAATAAATTGAGGGCATATATTTCATTTATCTTTTCTGTTTTCATTTTTCTGGTGAATATTTTATAAAAGCATCAGTTTATGACATACTGAAATTTAAAAAATTGAATCTTCAGCACAGATAGTTTACAAACAATGTTCTAGAGAATAAAGATGTAGAAATAAAATATGAATCTAAATACAATGCCTCTACCAGCAAAATATATCTGCAAAGAACTTTTCTGTGGCATCTGAGTAATTCATTCAATATGCAGCATTTTTCATATTTCAGACACTAGAACTAAAGTTGGGCATGAAGATCTTGAATATCAAACCTTGATGAATTCTTAGGACTGAATCTCCATCATGGAGACAGCTGTTTGGGTGAACGATCTGGGCCAATCAGTTATGTGCATAGCTATACTATTGTTTTTTTCTATTCCTTACCAAGACTTTGGTTGTTTGTTTGCCCATTTCAGATACTGGATTTGGCACAATCTTTACCTCTGATGATCGAGGCATTGTCTATTCCAAATCTTTGGACCGACATCTCTATACTACCACAGGTGGAGAAACAGACTTTACCAATGTAACCTCCCTCCGTGGAGTCTACATAACAAGCATGCTCTCAGAAGGTGAGTCTTGCCACAGCTGTCCTGTCCTGCTCCTCCAGCTCAGTGTTAGGATTTGAGGCCTTTGGGGAGCCTGATGGCCCTGTCCTCCAGTAATGTGCTTTCCTAGCCAACAAGCCTACCCATGTATATTCTGGCTCCCTATTTTAAATAAGTTATGGTAACTAGACCTAGGAAAGAGGAAAGCAATGGCAGGTAGAAAGAAAAATGTTTTAGAGTCAGTGTTGCTTACCTTGTGAGTCTTCCATTGGGATGTTTAAGCTGACGGGAATGAGCCTGGAGTTTATAGACATAGCAATAACCAGCCAAGATTCTTCTAGAGTTCTGTTCCATGGCTCTGTAGGGCTTACCTCTACTAAGGCACAGATATGCAAATAAACAAAGAGTCTTGGTTAGTTGGTTGGTTGACTGATTGATTGGAAGTAGGATGTTGGTTTTTATTTTGTAAAGTCCTTGCAATGGCCTACAAGGCATTAAGTGACATTGGCTCCCTTCCTCTTTGCTGACCTTACCTCCAGCACTTCTCTCTTTCATTTGCTCTGGACCTCTCACACTAAGCCCTTCCAGTCCTCAACACATCAGGCACACACACTCCTTGGTTACAGATTTGCACTGCCAGTTCTGTCTTATCCCTGGATATCTGCAAGGCTGAGCACTTGTTCTTCAAGTCTTTGCTTTTATGTTCCTTTTGGAATAGGCCTGCCCTGACTGTTTTATTTTGAATTCCAACATGCCCTCCCCCTTGCCTGCATACTCCCAATCCACCTTTAGCTGTGCAAGTGCTTTTCCATAGCACTTATTTTCTGACATACTATATAATTTACTGATTTACTATGTCTAGTGCTTGTCTCACTCTACCAGAATGTGTATTTCACAAGATTTTTTTGTTGTTGTTCACTAGAACATTCCTAAAGGGTTACAATAGTTTTCACTTGGTAGGCACTTATAAATGTTTGTGGAATAAATGAATTTTCTTTTACTTGCTTTCCTAGTTGATATTCCTTGGAATGCTCAAGCATATTATCTCTGAATGTAAACGTGCAACAGTTTTATCATTGAAAATAGAAAATGAGGAAATGGATATAAGGGAATAAAGTAAAGTATAAGGAATAATGGGATATGGGTAGCGGAGAAATGACAATTAGAAATATTAGTCCAGCACACATATTCAAATCTTGAGTTAGGCATGGTGGTGCCCACCTGTAATCCCAGCCCTTGGGAGGCTAAGGCAGGCAGATTGCTGAGAGTTTGAGGCCAGCCTGGGCTATGTAGTAAGTTCAAAACCAGTCCAAACTACATTTTTGTCTCAAAAAACAAAAACAGATCTTGACAGTCCCAAAACCTTGTCATGACCTTGTCCAAATAGAGATGAGGATTCCTTCCCATGCTAGATTTTTCTTCTAAGTCATCAGACAGAGGAGAATGTGCATCAGCATGTTCATGTTAGTCAGGAGTTATCTTTCAGTTACTGTAACAAAATACCTAAAGTAATCACCTTACAAAAGAGAAAAGGTTTATTTTGACTCACAGTTTGGACAGTTTTAGTCTATAGTTAGTTGTCCCTGTTCTTCTGAGCCTATTGGAGCACATCATGGCAGAAACATGTCGTGGAGGAAGCCTCTTCACCTTATAGAGAGGAAGAAGAAGGAACCAGTGTCTCAATTATCCCCTTAAGGGCCCCCCAGTGACATAACTTCTTCCCAGTAGGCCCAGTTTCTTAAAGCTATCCTCAGCTGCTAATAATGCCACAGACTGGTGCCAACCCTTTAAGACACGGACCTCGGGGACATTTAAGATCTAAACTATAACATAAAAGCTATCTTTTTCTAATAGTATCACTCCCAAATGGTTTCCGGAATTCATTCAGTCCTTCTCAGGTGGTAAGCCTTTTACTTTTTAAAGTGCTACTCAGTTCCTCACCATCACTGAGCCATTTTTGTGAGACATTAAAAGCTTCTGGGACTTCTGGGATTAAATGGTGTTCTCTGGTCTCAAGAGCAAGTTGTACAGTGATAAACTAACTGTGAGTGGTGCTTCCAGTGTGTCAGACTGGTGGTCATTCTTTCCCCATTCAGATAATTCTATCCAGACAATGATCACTTTTGACCAAGGAGGAAGGTGGAAGCACCTGCGGAAGCCTGAAAACAGCGAGTGCGATGCTACTGCCAAAAATAAGAATGAGGTTTGTGTGCGCCAGCGTTAGATGTGTGTGCAGAAAAGCAGCCAAGCCAAGCTTCTGAGAAATTAAGTTCATACTAGTTAGGGTCCACAGTTTAAGATGGAAAGTTTGGAAATAAAAGTAACGAAATTAACTTAGATTTGGGTACATAGGAACTGTGCAGAAAGGTGAAAATATTATAGATTGTCTTTTAAAGAGCAAAACCAATGGCTAACAATTTGTTTTACTAACCTGCAGAATGAAAACAGAATAGACAGATGTACTAGTTAGGGGTCAGCATGGTAGTGATGAGGCTTTAGGAACCCTAAGCCAACAAGCGGCCATCCATGTACACTGCAGAGACAGGCTGAACAGAAAAAGTGAAAGGCATTGGCCTTCCTTCCCCTTCCATCTGGTGACAGAGCTGGGGAAGCAGGGGAAGCCCCTCTGAGGATGGGCCTGGAGGTAGAAACAAATGTGCCACAGAGGCAAGACATATGCAGAGTACTCAGGGACTGGCATGTGTAGGTCAGGGATACAACGGGCAGGAACAGTGCAGGACCACTGCAGGAGGTCCCCGATCCCAGGAGTGACAGGCCTTGACAGGCAAAAGAAAAAAGGACGCTTTGTATCTGGCTCTTAACAGAATCTCAGAGGAGCTTAGGGCACTCTGGGTGTCCTCTTCAAAATACAGTGATGCTGGTGGCTCCTGACCTCTCAGAGCACCTGCAGCTGCCATGCTGTCTGCTTTCTAGACTTTCCTAGTCTTTGTGTAAGAGCCTTAGGCGGTGTGAGGTAAAGTATACCTGCACTGCTCCCAGCACACCCTCCTTTCTTCCTCCCTGTAAGTGCTAAGACTACTACCTTCTCGTCCCTTTTCCCATCCTCTGCCTTGGCCTTGCCCTCTACCTCCCCACCTCACCTTCAGCCACAGTACATACAGTGGCCTCTTCACTGATCTTGTTACCTTGTGCCCCGTCCCTCTTCCCAACACTCTTCATGGTTCCCCTTGCCCTGGAATAGTCTGTGTCCTGGACCTGTTGAATGAAGATTCTCTTCTGTCAGGCTCTCTCTGCCTTTTCACTGTTCCTGCCAGTTGTATCCCTGATCTACACATGCCAGTCCCCGAATACTCTGCATATGTCTTGCCTCTGTGGCCTTCCCCAAAGTGTTTCCAGTGGAAGTTGGGCCTGTCTCCCTGAATCCCAGTTAATTAGGATCAGTGGAAATCCTAACCCTCCTCAGTCCCCATCAGTTAGAACTAATCATTCCTCTTCGTAAATAATTTGCTTGAAACTCTCTTTTTTTAAATTATAATAAAAAACACACAAAACACTACTGGTATTTACAATTTTAACCATTTAAAACCTCTTTTAGAGTACTTTCATTCTACTTTATATACCTCAACTACTTCCTAAATTTATTTATTTTCTTTTCTTCTCAGCTTCTTTTCTTGAAGTATTTTTGATAAATAAAAATGGTATATATTTATAGTGTACAGTGTGATGTTTGGCTATACGTATACATTGTGAAATGACTACCACAATCAAGCTAATTAACATACCCATTACCCCACAGTTACCTTTTTATTGTGTGTGGTAAATTTAGGATCTACTCTCTAATCAAATTTCAAACATGCCATATGTTATTACTGACCATAGTCACCATGCTGCACATTAGATCACCAGAATTTACTCATCTTGCATAACTGAATCTTTGTGCCCTTTGGCCAATATTGCCCATTCTTCCCCTTCCCTTCTAATCCCTGGCAGCCACCCTTCTAGTCTCTGCTTGTATGAGTTCAACTTTTTCAGATTCCATACATAAATGAAATCATACACTGTGTTTCTGTGCCGGGCTTATTTGACTTAACCGGATGTCTTCCAGATTCATCCATATTGTTGCAAATGGCAGGATTTCCTTTTTTAAGGCTGAACAATATTCCACTGTATATATAAACCACGTTTTAACCATTCATTCATTAAAAGACACAGCGTGATTCTCTATCTTGGCTCTTATGAATAATGCTGGAGGGGCAGGGATATAGCTCAGTGGCACCGTGCCTGCCTGGCAAGCACAAGGTCGTGAGTTTGATCCCCGTTACCAAAAAAAAAAAAGAAAAGAAAAATGAACAGTGCTGAAGTGGGAGTGTACATGTCTCAAGATTCTGATTTCATTTCCTTTGGATGAATACCCAGAAGTGAGATTGGTAGTATTTCTTTCTTTAATTTCTTGTTTTTTGTTTTTGTTGGGGGTTTTTGTTTTTGTTTTGTTTTTGAGAAAGTATCTCACTGTGTAGCTCAGGCTGGCCTTGAACTCACTGTGTAAGCCACGCTGGCCTTGAACTCATAGAAATCTTCCTGCCTCAACTCCCCAGGTGCTGGAATTACAGGCATGTGCCACCATATCTGGCTGTATCTTTAATTTTTTAAGGAAATTCTATACCATTTTGCATGATGACTGTAACAATTTACATTTCAACCAGTACAGTACGAGGGCTCCCTTTTCTCCACATCCTTGTTAACAGTTCTTATTTGTTTGTCTTTTTGATAATAGCCATTCTAACAGTTATGAGGAGATACCTCATTGTGGATTTTTTTTTTTTGGCACTGGGGATTGAACTCTGGTCCTTGCGCTTACAGGGCAGGTGGCAGAACCACTGAGCTAAATCCCCGTCCATCACTGTGTTTTTTATATGCATTTTCATGAGGATTAGTGATGTTGAGCATTTTTTCATATACTTGTTGGCTATTTGTATGTTTTTTGAAAATAGCTATTCATGCCTTTGCCTGTTTTTAAAAATGGTGTTATTTTCTTGTAATTGAGTTGTTTGTATATTAATCCCTGTCAGATGTATAGTTTGCAAGTATTTTCACCCATTCTTAGTTGCTGTTTAATGCTTTTAAATGTTTCCTTTGCTTTACAGAAGCGTTTAAGTTTGAAGCAACCCAAAAAAAGTTATTTGTGAAGGATATTTGTACACACATGTACATATGGCAACATTATTCATAATAGGCAAAAAGATAGAGAAGCTCAAGTATCTAACAGTAGATGAAGAGGTTAGAAAAACATGGTATCACACACAGGAATATCATTCAGTCTTTGAAAGGAAGGAAATTCTGACATACGCTGCTATACAGATGAATCTTGAAAACATTATGTTAAATAAAATGAACCAGTCACAAAAAGAGAAGTGCTATAGATTTCAGTTATATGAAGTACCTGGAATAATCAAAAAGCAGAGATAGGAAGCAGAACAGTAGTCGCCCGGGTTTTGCGTAACAAGGGGGGAGTTGTTGCTTAAAGGGTGATGTTTGAGTTTAGCAATATGCAAAAGTTCTGAAGATTTGTTGCACAAAGGAGAGGATATACTTAACACTCCTAAACTGTACATTTAAAAAGTTAAGATGGTGATTTTATAAAATATGTATTTGACCGCAGTTTCTATTAAAAGGTCTCACTGAGGTATGAGTTAAGTTTCAGGCTTTATCAGACAGCTCTGTGAGATGAGTAAGGACATTGTATCTTTGGTTTCTTTTCACAGTGCAGCCTTCATATTCATGCTTCCTACAGCATCTCCCAGAAACTAAATGTGCCAATGGCACCACTCTCTGAGCCTAATGCTGTGGGCATAGTCATCGCTCATGGTAAGGAGCCCTTCCTCTTACCACCATGGGTAGAAGCAGTGGAGTACACTGAGACTCAGCCATGACATTTCACCCTTATTAAAAACAAAACAAAAGCCCATTACTGTGCCTTTTATGCCTGTGGTAGAATGTCTTGCATTATAACAATGCTTAGGGAGTTTCGTAGAGTCCCATCTGAGAATGCAACATCACTTCTCCTCTTCCCAAGTTTTGGTGGCCCTTTTGTCTGCCGCAAGAGGCCTGATGGGAAATAATCAGAAAGTCATTCAAAATGATCTTCTTGCCAAGCGTGGTGTGCACACCTGTAATCTCAGCACTTGGGAGGCTGAGGCAGGAGGATCACGATGAATTTGAGGCCAGCCTGGGTTACATAGTGAGTTCAAGGGCAGCCTGAACTACATAGTGAGATCCTGTCTTTAAAAAAAAAAAAAAAATCCTCTTGCCAGTAAATCCTCTCTGTTTCACTGCTGATGAGATGATGGATTATGTTGCAGGTAGTGTGGGGGATGCCATCTCAGTGATGGTCCCAGATGTTTACATCTCAGATGATGGGGGTTACTCCTGGATGAAGATGCTGGAAGGACCCCACTATTACACCATCCTGGATTCCGGAGGCATCATTGTGGCCATTGAGCACAGCAGCCATCCTATCAATGTGATTAAGTATGCATGAGCTCAGCTCCACACACAGTATCTGCATAGAGGGCAGCTGTGGGAATGTTCTTTGGTTTATTGAGGGGAAAAAGTCTCAGGCCCTAATTCAGTTTTGCATTCTCCAAAACTGTAGGAGAGATTCTAGAAGGGGTTGTATGTTAGAGCAACTCAGATTAGTTGGCATTGGTATTTCTTCTAACACATTTTATCATTTTTTAAACTTCTTCTTTCTCATCACAAAAAATTTATGGAAATGTCCAAGCACTGTGGATTGGAAATGACTTCTTAAACACAAGTTTTTATAGAGTAATTTGAGTTTGTTAATTTAGAACCCCATTCTCACATGAGTCAGTGCCCTCTCCTTCTGTACATTTTCAGAATGAATCATTTTCCCTACACTGTTAACCATAGGCATTAAAAATGAAAGAAGCTGTCAGCCATTGCTTAAGCCATCACCTAAATCTGAGGTTTTCCTATGAATATTGAACAGCCAGAGTGTTTTTGTGATATTCCCAGTACTTGTTGAACCTCTGTTAAGATCTTTCTCTAATTAATGTTGCAGGTTCTCCACAGATGAAGGTCAGTGCTGGCAAATCTACACGTTCACAAGAGAACCCATTTACTTCACTGGCCTAGCTTCAGAGCCTGGAGCCAGATCCATGAATATCAGCATTTGGGGCTTCACAGAATCTTTCCTAACCCGCCAATGGGTCTCCTACACCATTGATTTTAAAGATATCCTTGAAAGGAACTGTGAGTATCTCTTTTGACATTTCTGCCAGAAACTTTGCAATTCCTTTTCCTAGGTAATAGATTCAGTTTACTTTCTTTTAGCTGGGATCAGCAAATGCATATGCATAGAAAAGGAAATTGGAGGTTATTCCATGTAGGTCGTGAAGCAATAGAATGGTATCAAAAAGCATTTTCCTTCTTGGGACTAGCACTGTTCAAGAAAAATGAAGGCACATATGTAAGTTAAACTATCATGTCAGCTATATAATAACAGTAAAAAGAAAAGTGAAATGCATTTTAATGATAGAATTATATTCATATATCCAAAACATTATAATTTCAACATGTGACCAATATTAAAAATTACGGAGATATTTTACATTTTTGTCTTCTAAGTCTTTGAAATCTGGTATGCCCTTTAATGCTTATACTTACAGGAAGTCTCAATTCAGACCAGCCACATGTGAGTAGGGCTACTGTATGGGACATTATAACTTTGCATTCACTTTTTATGAGACTTTTTTCCCAGCTTAAAATAGTACATATGTATGTTTGTCTACAACTGTTGCATAACAATTCAAGGGTCTTTTCTCTGATTAGGCAAATATGCTGGTATTGTAAAGAGGAAACTTTAGAGGAAAGTATTTGCAAGAGCATCAAATTGATTGTGTCACTTCAAAATGTTGAAATAAAGAAATTCTCATGCAAAAGACTTTTGGCTTCAATGCCAATCACAGGTGAGGCTCTAGAGTGACCACTGGCCAGGTGTGAAGCTGACACTGACCTCCTCCAGGCTCTGTACCTTTGCACTGAAAGACACAGCAAAGGCCCAGAAAATGGCTTCAGAAAAAGATTGACCATGTGCAGTGCACAGTGCTCCCAAGTGCCACAGGCAAACCCAGACCCAGTGCCAAAGATGTTGACATTATACTGAGAAATAGGAAGGATAATAGAAAACACTAGAAAAAAGTAACCTGTACCGCCATGTTGGTGTAACACAATCCAAGATTTAAAAGTTTCAAGGCATTTTATTTGAATTTTGATCCTATTAGACATTTTTATGGGTCCATTTCCTCAGAGTGTTAATTCACTGGCTCCTAAGGAAGCAGAGCTCCTGATTTGGACTTTGCCTTTCTACAAGGTAATGATTTCAGACCTGAGGTCTTCAGTCATCTAAATTCATTAGAGAGACTGTAAAGGAGCTGGCTTATGAGTGTTACTCTCAGCAGTCAGTTCTACCATATCCCTGAAGTTCAGCATCATTAAGAGATTTGCTAAGCACTTGTTCTCTAATAGGCTTGTGCTGGTCTTCATATCCTGAAGGATAAAAACCTAACCTAGTCTTTAGGTCATAGTCTTTGAGTTATTTTTCCAGGAGTAGATGATACGATTTTCAGAGCCAGAAACTGTTGTCATAAACAATCCACATTTGGGCTGGGGATTTAGCTCAGTGGTTCCAGTGCCTGCCTTGCAAGGACAAGGTCCTGAGTTTGATCTCTGGTACCAAAAAAAAGAAATCCACATTTGAGAGCCAGTTGAGTAGAGCTAGAATTCTAGAAAGAGGCTGTTTTCATTCTGATTGAAACAAATCAACATGTCGTGAAATTGAACCTGTGCTCTTCAGTAGTTAGTATCCAATCCTAAGCAAAGAGCCCCTGGAGTGGAAATACCTGGTTCCTCACTTCTGACAACTTCTGTGAAATGGGGCACAGATAGGTGAGCAACACACAGCAGCCTCTCAGTTTGGAGAGAACTCTAGAACTTTCCTGTATAGCTTCCCACTTCAAAACAAAACAGGTTTTTCCTAATCCTTAGATGGATGGTGAGAGAGGAATGATCATCTTTTTGAATAAGGAAATACAATTGCCACTAGGCTATAGACTAATGTAATGTTTTGTTTTCGATTCCAAATAGGAATAATAGCTTGAGTCAGACTGCCTTCCTGCTCCTCATTCTTCTGCTTTCTGTGGGTGGGCTCTGGGTTATACACCTTCCTGGACCATCTGTCTGTCCTCTAGGTGAAGAGAGGGACTATACCATATGGCTGGCACACTCCACAGACCCTGGAGATTATGAAGATGGCTGCATTCTGGGCTATCGGGAACAGTACCTACGGCTACGGAAGTCATCTGTCTGTCAGAATGGTCGAGACTATGTTGTGACCAAGCAGCCGTCCATCTGTCCCTGTTCCCTGGAGGACTTTCTCTGGTATCAACACTTCTCAGACCCCTCTGTCAGCATCTGTCCCATATAGAAAGGGGTGAAAGTAATTGTCTTATAGAGCCAAAAATACTGAAATCCTTTTTCCCAAGAGTAGAGAACTGCTGCTTCTTATCCAGGAAACTGAGGCCCAGAAAGAGGGAACTAACATTGTGAATAATTAGACAGATAGTATAATCTTACTGGATAATCATTGGGCAGAATGAGCAACCAACCCCAGAAATCTTAACTTGATAATGGTAGAAGAAAAGAAGCTATAGAGGGCCGGGGATTTAGCTCAGTGGTTCGGCGCCTGCCTTGCAAGCACAAGGTCCTGAGTTCAATCCCCGATACCAAAAAAAAAGAAAAAGAAAAGAAAAGAAGCTATAGAATGAAGAAAATAAAACAGCAACATCTATAGCTAGTGACAAGACAAAAACACCAAGAAAAGTGGTGCAGATACGAAGGGAAAATTAATTTTAGAGAGCAGCCTGATGGTTTGAGTACTAGGTTTCAGTTCCTCTGCAAGGCTGATGGCAGAGAGATAGTGGTTTGGTCCTGAGACTAGAGGTGACATCAGAATGTTCGTGGTCTTTATGCCCTTTTGAGGTTTATAGGCTGTCAGGGTGGACTCCTTGGAGTTCAGGGCCCTTCAGACTTAAAAATTAGTTACTTAGCTGCATAGGGTTAGTTGATTATATAAAAGGGCAAGGGAGTCCCTTGTGTAGCTTAAATGAGGTAATTTTAGGGGAAATAAGAGGGAGTGCTTCACATCATAGATAATAATTTTTTGGAGTTTGCTATGTAACAATAGATACTTACAGGAGGTAAAAGTGTATCCTAAAGGATTTGGACAAAATGCCAAGCAGATAGCAGTCATGTCCTCCCCTTTGGTGTAGTCTTGAACTGCAGGTGACAGCTGAATGCAGGTCTAAGGGAAACATGGGTCTGACCCTGTGTAGCTCACATCTATATGTTGAATAGTCAAGGGTCCTTCCTTATCCCTTTGCACAAGGAAAACACCACTCACATCACCTTGGTGTTACAGTAGGGCCACAGGTTGTTGATGTGGAGTTTAGGATGGATGACCTGTACAAGTGTAAAAGTTTGTAACCTGTCCTTGACTCCAAATACACCAGGCTCTTTCCCTGAACGTCTTCTTTTTTTCCAAGTATTCTGTGATTCTTCAGAGCTCCAGCCACTGTGCCAGGTGTTTCCTCTGCCTGGAAGTCTGTCCACATTCTTCACAGGACCCCCACGCCTGCCTGGCTTCTACTTGGCCTTAATACTAAGCTCTGATAGCACCACTTTAAAGTCTCTCCCATTCTCCTTCCTCTAAGCTCCCACAGCACCCCTACATTGGCACTTACTGTGTTTTAATGATGGTTTATAGGTTTGGCTCCACCATTAAACCCAAAGTCCTTGAGAGTGTACAGTATTACATGTGATAATAATAATATACTAGTAATGATAGCAGCTAACATTATTGAGCACTAACTCTGCAGTTGGCACTGTCCTAAACAATTTATATTTAAATTTACAACAGAAAAGTTGTGACTAACAGGTCTGGGGGAAGTGGCAGAGCTGGGATACCTAAAATTCTTTCCTGAAATTTCTCCCTGCTGTTAGAGGGGTGATGTCTTTTGCATCTTTTGCTCTCTTTTCCCTCTCCCCTAAATACTCATAAGAAAACCCTTAAACTACAAGTGGCATCTGTATAGTCCCCAAATATTCATTCAGTGCCAACACAAAGTGATAATGGAAGGTTTGCTGTAGACTTTCTAGATAAAGTGTACCTTAATTTTGACACAAAACAAAGGGGATAATTGCCCTGCAGATTTAGAGAAGGGAGGGAAGACTCCATGTAGAGCTGAAAAGAGGTGGATTGAAGAAGGCTAAGTTTAGGAGGTGGCATTTTGGCTGAGTACTGATAAATAGTAGGATTTGACCATGCACATCAGGGAAGAAAACGGGTCATTAAAGCCAGTGGACCACTGTGAGAATAGACACACAATAGCACAGGAAGGGTGTGCCAGATGATAGCCTGTGAGAAGTCAGAGTCATGATTCAGAAGTAAGGAGGGTCCAGATAGAGGATGCCAAGGCTAAACTTTCCACTTCGATGGTGGAAGGAAGGTAATAGCAGGGACAGACATGTGGAAGTGATAAGGAGGGGGTGGCACAGGGAAGAAAACGTGCTATGTTTTGACCATTTTATTCATTTGAGATTCTGTCAGCATAGTTAGGTGGTGACATACAACAGGCATTTGGAAATGTAGGATTAGGGCTCAAGAGAGGCAAAGCGTGGAAATTTCAGCAGTAAATACTACTAAAATTGTGTTCACCGAAGGAGGGAAGATTCAGAGAAAGTAAAAGAAGGAATTATACAGCCCTAGCAAAGTCTGCATTTATGGGTAGGAAGAAAGAAGCACAGCCATGGCCACAGAAACAGCTGTGAAGTAAAGTTTGCCGCCACCAAGGTGGGGAGGGGCACAGTGGTGTGTTGGATGAAACAACAGGTGACAGAGGTGGTAGCACAGAGAGGGCTCTTCTGGGTTTGATGACTAGCAAACTTTGGAGTTCCTTTTCAAGGCTGCAGAGAGGGCTGAAGACAAAATACATGGAATAGAAAGTAAATGAGTAAAATAGGGCAGGGAATATTCTTATAAGAAATTGGGCCAGTAAAGATGGGGCCAATGATGCACATCTGTAATCCCAGCTACTTGGAATATTGTGGCAGAAAGGTTACAACTGAACAACTTAGTGAGACCCTATTCAAACACTTTTTTGAAAAGGAAGAAGTCTGGAGGAGTAGCTCAGTGGTAGACTGTTTGCCTAGCATATGCAAGGCCCTGGATTCAGTCCCCAGTACCACAAAAGAAGAAGTGGGGGTGGGGGGGATAGGGGAAAGAAAAAGAAGAAGGAGAAGAGAGAAAAAGAAAAAAACAAAGAAAAAAATCGGTCCACTAAAGGAAAGAAGGATGAAGGCAGTAATTTCCGGGATAGAGATACATGTAGACTAGGGAGAAGCCGCCAGTTGGATGGGAAAGACTGATTGTCCCCTGTGCTGTCTGTGACGCAAGAGCCCAGGACTGGTAGGAAGAGTGAGACCAACAGTAAGGATGCTCTGGGCCGGGGGTTTAGCTCGGTGGTTCCAGCGCCTGCCTCACAAGCGCAAGGTCCCGAGTTCGATCCCCCGTACCAAAAAAAAAAGAGGATGCTCATGTAGTGATGTCAACCTCAGAGTTTCCCTATGGGGAAAGCAGAAAAGGAGAGCAGTTGAAAGGTGCTAGGAAGAGATGAGATGGAATGGAGGGCAGGAAGGGGTGTTTCCATTGGAAGCAAAGACTGTCTGATAAACTAAGAGACAGAAGAGGGGAAAATAGAATTTGATATATACCCCCAAGGGCAAAATAAATTACATTTGGAAGTAAAGAATTAGTAAATTTCCTGATTTTAGGTGTGTTTCCTGTGCCTATCTTTGTCTTAGTTGCACAGGCCCTTGCCCCACTGTAAGCTGCATTCAGTACCTTCCCTGAACCTGAGCTGTCTCAGAACTCCAGGCCTGACTCATAAGCTTTCTTTTCTTCTCAGCAGAGGCTTGTCCATATGCCTCAGAGACATTTCCTAAATGGCTGAGTTAATCAGCTTTCTGTCATAACAGATACCTGAGATGATCAAAGGGAAAAGGTTTATAACGAGAAAGTCCATGATTGATTGGCCCTGTTGTTTTAGGCCTGTGGCAGGGCAGCACTTCAAGGTAGGGTACGTGGTAGAGCAAAACTGCTTGCCTCACGGACAGAAAGCAAAAAGAAGAGGGGAAGGGGCTGGGGCTCCCCGATGACCCAAATACCTCCTACTAGATCCCACTTCCCAGGAATGCCATACTGGGGACCAAGCCATCAAGACATGGGCTTTGGGGAACACAGATTCAAATTATAGAATAGACCTTCTCTAGAGATGTCACGGACCTTCCTGAGCTGATAACAACTCTTCTAGTCTGGAATGTTAACCATCCATTGCCCCCATAAAACCTTCATTGATGATCACACTGTCCTTCCTAAACTTTGAAAATTACCTTATTTGTTGACTCTTACAGTGATTTTGGCTACTTTCGTCCAGAGAATGACTCAAAGTGTGTGGAACAGCCAGAACTGAAGGGGCATGACCTAGAGTTTTGTCTGTATGGACGAGAAGAACACCTGACGACAAACGGGTGAGATGGCCTTTCCGCTTTGTGGCAGATGAATCTTCCTGGTTAAGGGAGAAAGCTGTTTCTCTCCACACAGAGAGCCAAGTAGTGCTCAGGATACTCTCAAAAGCACCACCTAGGAGAACTTTCTGCAGTCATGAGAATGCTCTGTGACCTGCTGTGTCCCATATGGTAACCACTAGCCACACAGAGCTGTTGACATGAGCACAGCTGAAGAACAGAATTTTTCATTTTAATTAATTTGGATTTAAATGGATGCCATATGGACAGTACAACTCCAGAGGAGCCTCATTACCTCTCCTTGGATAAATTCGCCACCCCCTCTCCATTGTGTACTGCTTATTAATGAACTTTCTCTATGTCACAGCCTCTTGAGGTAGAAGGGACAGACATATCTCCAACAGCTAGGAACAGAGGTGCTTAGTCAATTCAGTAAACCTGTGGACATTCCTCAGGGCCTGAAAGATGACATGTTGCCAAATCAGTTTTGCTTTGCTTACCATACACAATGCTAACCATTGCCAACAAGGAGTTTTTTGAAAGGGAAAGTTTATTCCTGGGGTGGCCAGATCTGTCTCCCTGACAGTATGGTTCAGGATGTTCATGGGATAAAGAAGCAGGGTGATTTAAGGCATGGGAAAAGGTGATTGGAAGTGAGGTAATCAGTGATCTGCACATGTGGTCTTCATAGCTCTTTGTAGGATGCATGTTCAGAAAATGGCAATGATAGCATGATCTGAGGGTGGAGTTTGTGACCATCAAATTGTAACTCCCCAAAAATATGTTATGCAAAATGTCACCCGTCCATCACCTGCTCAGACACGAAAGTGAAGAGTTCGTGGTTTCAACAAAAGGGGCTTTCAAGTTCCTGAAAAGTACTCTAGGCAACTGTTGTCATCATGACCCACACATAAGATATGACATCTACACCAAACCTAATAGGAAACTGAGAAAATATTGCTCAGCTGAATGACCCCAAAGTTAATGATTTTTAAAAGTCAACTAAAAGCAAATGTGGCTAGAGGGTTTATTCAGGTTTTCCCTTGGTTACAGAAGTTCTCCAATCTTGTTTGCAGGAAGTAGGCAAGAGTCCAGGAATATATCTTTGTATTCTGTTAATAAACTAACTTTCCTTCCTTTCTCCTTCTGCTCTCCCTTCCTCCCTCTCTTCCTCCCTCCTCTCTTTCATTTTCACAGCTCTGAGTCATTTTATTATAAAAGCTAGAAAAGTAAGAGGAAAAAAAGTTGGTACTCTTATACATAAACTAATAACACAGGGGCCGGGGATTTAGCTCAGTGGTTCCAGTGCCTGCCTCACAAGCTCAAGGTCCCAAGTTCGATCCCTGGCACCAAAAAAACAAAAACTAATAACACAGAAGATTCATCATCCATTTACTTCATTTTTTCATTTGACCTCCTACCAGATCTTCAGCTGCATTGATTTTTGGCCACTATATAAGGAGATTCTTCTTTGTCTGTATGAGCCCTGATTTGTTGATGAGCATCTCTCATTCTTTATTAGCAGTAGGGTTTACACCTAGCATTAATGCTGCTTCCTGTTTTGTTATTTTGAGTTCAAACCCACCACTGTAATAGCCATGATGGAAGGTAGATTTTGGTAGACTTTGAGAATATTTGGGGCTCTGTGTGTTTCATGGCTTGCCAAACATAAGGCCTAAAACTCTTGCTGCAGCAGTTGTCAGTCTAGCTGCTGCCAACATACTGGCCATGACCTGGGCTTGGCTTCCCTGCCTCTGCCAGGAGCACTGTGCATCCCAACCCAGAGGCAACGTCACCAACTATACACCTTGAGCGGCAAGCAGCACAACCACTGCCAGCAAGCACAAAACTGTAAGCAAATCTCTGACTTTCAGGTACCGGAAAATTCCAGGAGACAAATGCCAAGGTGGGGTGAATCCAGCTCGAGAAGTAAAAGACTTGAAAAAGAAATGCACAAGCAATTTTTTGAGTCCCAAAATGCAGGTACATTACAGTACATCTAAGTTTTATGTACAAGTGGGGTTTCGTATTCTGTCAGGATGAATCAAAGTTATAGCATCAAAAATTGTGTTACTGATACAAAGTGGCCAAACTGCTTCTACAGGCTTCCCTTTGCACAGGAAACTCTTAGGATAAAGGATAAGCTACAGAACCCAGTGATAAGCTCATTTCACTGAAAGCCCTTTTGGTTCGGGAAAAGATGTCCTATAAAGTTGTAAACATCTTAGAAGCAGAAAGTTGTGGAAATTTCCGAGGCTCAAAGTCCTTTAGGAAAAAGACTCAAGAAGGCTGGCTGTCAGTGCATGCTCTGTGCATGCGTTTAAATGCCACAATGCACCCCATTAATATGTACAATTATAACCTGTTGGCCAAAAACTTTAAAATGAATTTTTAAAAAGAGAGAAGGTTGGCTGTCAAAAGGCCATGGCCTAGGGTTCTGCACGTGTGGAGAAAAGTGTTGGACGGTAGGTAGGATAGGGTAGGTAGGGTAGATCTTTTCTGTATGAGTCCTGCCAGTATATTCAGAATGAGAAGCTAATCTATGGTAATAATGGGTGGTGTTGATTTAAAGGCAGTTTATGAGGCTGACTTCAAATTGTGGTAATGAATTATCTGGTTGGGATCTGGAAATACAGTGAAGAGGAACCCTCTTGATACAGAAGCACTGGACTAGTAATATGACTTGCGGAGACAAAGTGGGGCCCCTGCTTCCTAATCTGTAATATGAGAGGTTGAGCTGGACAGTCTGCAGGTGCTTGCCCTCTGCTGTTTTAAGGGAGGAGAGACTGACAAAGGGTGGGATTAGGAAGGCAAGGGGAGAAGAGTGTGTGGGTGTGTGTATTTGTAAGGGGACCAGTTTCCCCCTTCTCTGCACCCCCGCCCTGGGCTCCTGGTGGCTGTCCTCAGAGTGTTTGTGTGTGTGATTGCACAGGACTCCCGCCCACAGGGACACAGCTTGTCCCAGAATCCAGCTCCGCCTCCTCTTGGATACACTGAAAACACACACTTCCTATCTCCCACCCAGAAGCAGGTAGGTTACACAAAAACAATGATATGATAAGGCTTATTTGTAAACATTCCAAAAATTGAGTAAAAACATAAACCTGGTGACATAGGATGGCCTGCCTATATAGCACTGACACAGCATCATCCAGATGATGATTTTGTTCTAGGTTAATTCATCCCACTATTATCATAGTGTCCCTTTCCTGCTCTGCCCTTCAGCTCCAAGACTTGTAAACAGGGATGTGGAACTGTCAGGATCACCATATTTCATTCATCTAGGCAGTCATCAAGGCTTCCAGGATAGCTTTGACTTTGAAGCCCATTTGTAGCCTCCAGGCAATAGAGTTCAGATCCCCCTGCCTGCTGTGGTTCTCTCCTGGTAACAGAGATGGTACATCTTTGGATGGGGTTGGAAAAGTCACACCATTAAGTGCCTCAGGGTGTAAATGGCTCAGAGAAAGTAGGGGAATGAGCAGCCACTTTGAATGCAGTCCTAGAACATGCATGCCTAAAAGCTTTTGTGTTTTATGTTTTAATTTATCAAGAATTCCAAGTCAAATTCTGTTCCAATTATCCTGGCCATCGTGGGATTGATGCTGGTCACAGTTGTAGCAGGGGTGCTCATCGTGAAGAAATATGTCTGTGGTGGAAGGTAAGGAATGTGGAAGGGATTCAGAGGTACTGAATTCAAACCATAAAGTCCAGCACATAGAGTGGAGTATGCCCTTGGCTAACACTAGGTAGTTGAAGTGATGTTCCTAAAAAGTCAGGTCCAAATCTTCTCATAGCTTATATTTTTCCATATGTCAACTGTTGTCCGTGTTGCCTGTTTGTGACTCACTCATGAGTGTATAAACCCTGAGTATGTAAGAAACACACCTTGCTTACCACGTGCTTCCATCGACAGGTTCCTGGTGCATCGATATTCTGTGCTACAGCAGCATGCAGAAGCCGATGGTGTGGACACTCTGGACACAGCCTCCCATGCTAATAAGAGTGGTTATCATGATGACTCAGATGAGGTGAGACTATTTCTTCTGGAGGTGTGCTCCAAAAATACAAAAAAAAACCAAACCAATTCTACTCACCATCAAAACAATTGAAGCAAAGGAAGGCATAATTCAAAAGCAGAACATTAATACCTGCAGGATTTGGCGAGCCCAAAAACTAGATGATTGCTTTCAAAGTATGAATATTTTAATCTGTCAGTAATATGGCATGTGTCTTTCTTTCAGGACCTCCTGGAATAGCTCTTCCAAGGAGCTGGGACCCGGCACGGAGAGTGGAACCTCAGTACCTCTTACACTCCCTGTGTCTCCAACTTGGGGAAGTAAATTTCCCATTTCAAGGGACCCAGCTCTGTTTCTGCTATTTCCATCAAAGCCAAAAGGACCTACACTAAAGAACTGCTGGGTGGGGTGGGAAACCCTGAACACTCTTGAGATTGGCTCTGAACGGGCAAATTTTAAGTTCTTTAACTTTTTTATTTCTAGTTCTTTTTTTTAATATAGGCTTTGGCTTTGTTTGGGTTTTGGTTTCTTTGGGGATTTTGTTTTTGTTTATTTGTTTTGTTTTTTAAAGGAAATGAAATGGAATTCGAAGGGATTGTTTCCTCACTCTTGCCTGTTCTGTGTGGAGCCCACCCCAGAGCATCTACTGACTCCAGCATCAACTCACAATGTCCGCGGTGCTGTCCTGGGGCTCTGTCTGCCATGTGAAGCAGCCTTGGAGAGGAAAACAGGCTGCAGTGACTGGTACAGCCTGGCCAGCTTTTCTCCATCTGGGGACAGCTCTGATCCAGGAACATTTTATACCATCTCACACAGATCCTGACGCTGCTTTTATTTTCCCCCAAAGACCATAGACCACGCTGATTTTTCTTTTCCTCTGTTTAGGCAGTACCCTTGTTAATTGCCCTTTGGCAACTAACTTACCCATGTGCTTCCAAGATACTAAATCAGGAAAACTTACAGGGCAATATTTTTAACTTGGGGCAAGAATAAGGGAGCAACAGAGAATTGACTAGATTTAGTACCTATTAAAGGCGAAACTCTGGCTGGTTCTGAGATGGTCGAAACTGTGCTTTGTGTGTGTGCCAGTAGACTTGCTCAAGGACAGGGTACAGGCTTGGCCTGGAAGTCTGCCCAGCTCAACCATCTCTGCTAGAGTGGATTAGTGAGCACACAGTGCAGCCCTGAGGACTGACATCTGCAGTCTTCCATTTTGCCTTTGCACCTGACATGTTGGCTCATGATTGAGCCATAACGGCTGCTTTATTTGCTTCCTCCTAGGATGCTATTGTACATGGAGCCAGGACTAGAGATGTTTTCAGATTCATAGATTTTTTTAATCAGCATTTTATTACTGGGCCCTTATCCTCACCTCTTTTCCCAGTTTTGCCAAGTCATTTGTTGACATGAAACTTTTGGCTGAACCAATTGAAAACACACTTCTGGTCTTCATGCTTTGCTTGATACATTGTGTTCATATTTTAAATTTAAGGAAGTTTCCCATTTGATATTTTTCCAAATTAAATGAATCACAGAATGTTGTTGGATTGATTTTGGAGTGGCCATATAATAATGGAAAGCTGCAATAATTAGTTTTAATACAGCTTAAATATTTGCTACACAGGAATATAGTGTGGTCAGTCTTTGGTTTACTATACCTTCCTACTATGCTGATCACAGTTTCTCTCAATAATTGTGATTAGGACATTCTTTGATGGATGCCATTTTGCTGCTAGTTCATTGTGTGGCTAGTAAGTCAGTAAAAAGTAAATGTGCCAAAATAACTTCTGTCAGAATTCGTGAGCAGATGGCTAACTTCTCTCCTCCCCAAAATGGATGAACAGCAGCAGGGAAAGAGGGGGAGGAACTGGATAGAGAATTTTAGAAACTTTGAAACTGCAGTAAAATTAAATGAGTCAGGGAACTTCTGTTAGAAAATGAAGTTAGGACAGTTTTGTGAAGAGAGTATTTGTAAGGGCTAGAAAATACTAGCTTTAAGCTCATTTTGCATGGTTTTAAATTTTTAAATAATTCCAAAGATATATACTAGCTCACAAATGATAAAAGTGTCAGCCTCTGTCTCCCACCCTTACCGTCTGCCCACAGTGAATTTGATGCCAAGAAACGACTATTTATACCGCATATCTTTTCTCCCAGCATATACCTAGATGGATGTGGATTAAGATGTGCCAATATACAATAATCCTTTTATTTTAAGATGTAGGAAAGTTAATATTCATCTCTAAACGTATAAGATTAGAGCTCTTTGCTTATAATAATATGTTAGATTTCTACAGAATTGACAATTTTCATAGCACTTTCACTTGTATTATGTCATTTGAGCCTCCAATGTTCTTGTGATGGAAATAAGCAGCCAAACTTAAGTCAGTTGGAGGTGACTTGCTGTTCTTTAGGACAGGGGTCAGGCATTGCTTTCAGAGCATTGTTTAGCACCTTTTTGTTTTCTTTTTGAAAAACAGAAAATTTTATTCTTCTGTTTTTCATGGCTGAAAACAAAAGTAATGGTAATTTTGAATGTGTCTTCAGGGACAGCCCCTCCCCTGGTGAAGGATCACTGTTGAGGAGCAGAAGTGTGAGTCTCCGTGGACGGGTCCCCTCTCCATCCTTTTGCTCCTACCGTGGGCTGGTGACTTTGTTGCCTTAGGATTGCCTGCTAGCCTGGCTCTTCCTTTTATTGGCTCGTTAGCTTTCTTAGCAGTCTCACAAATGTGTCCCCTCCACCAGAGACTAAAACAGCCTAAATCTATTACAGCTTCTAAAATAAAAAGATTTCTGGTTTGTCCTACACAGGTTAGGAGCATCACCTTTGACATTAAAACCTAACATATCATCCATAAACTCCCAGGTGGCAGGAGAGATTTCTGGAGGTTTGAGCAATGGAACTTAGCGTTGTTAGGTAGAGTAGACATAATCAGACAGTCCAAAGTGATCTAAGCTCTGAAATCCAGAATCCTCCCTATTCCCTATAGGATATTCCCTATCCTAGTGGATTTTTTATTTTTCTTGAGAGCAGAGACCTGGGTGTAATAGCCTAAGCTGTGAATTGAGTGGAAACACTACTTGGAAGACTAGAAGCCTTTGGAGGGTTGTGGTAGCTGTGGGGCTTAGGACATATGACAGCATCCATATACCTGAACCTGGGAATTGGCGTCTGTCTCTGGATAGGCTAGGCTTCCAGTATGTATCTTTCTTACTCTTAGGTTTGCCTCTGAGTCTCAGTATGCCTAAACTAGCCTTTCATCCTTGACAAATTAGTAATATGCTGGCCGCCTCCGGCTTCTGCCCCGTGCCTATAAACTGTAGCTGGCCTTCCTCATGATACTAAGATATATAGAGAGGTACAGGGTGATCTATACCAGCCCCAGGGTGCCAGGGCTGGCCTGGCTTTCCAGCCAAAGCATCTAGCCAGAGTCTCATTCTTTTTAAGAGTGCTCTGAAGAGCCCTGCCCCTGTACACAGTAGCTAAAAGCTCATCTGCTCGTTGTCAGCACAGCCCTCTCATCTCCATATTAAGCTAGGAAGCTTGGAACTGCTAAAATAGGAAGAGATGCACTTTTTCAACTTTCTGCCACCTTTCCAACAGGGAAATTAACATGGACTTAAATGTCCTTTAAACAAAACCAAAGTTTAAGATTTGCCATGTGATATAGTAAAAGGGAGGGCCAGAGACATCAGGGCCAGACTTCTGTTCCATGTGCCACTGATTGACCCAGGGCAGGCAGCTCTAGGAGCACCATCCTGCCCTAGCAGAGTCCAGCCCCACCCTCAGGAAGGATAATTGAAATAGTGGGAGCATGCCGATTTCCTTGTCATATTGATAACAATAAGAATTAGAACATTAATTTGAAATTATTTTCAACAACTTGCTGTATGCATTTTTTCACACTCCAATACATCCTTAAGCATTCTTGTTTATATGGAATAACAAACTAATCTGTATCTTTTTATATATATATATATATATATGTACATATATACATGTATAAACTGTATAGTGTACATGTTAATGATTTATTGATATGCCCCAAATCTTTAATGCAGTTCTCATCCTCTGCATGCCCTCAATTGTGGTTGGGTGACCTAATGTCCCCTGGTGGTTATGCCCACCTCCTGTGTTTGAACCTCTGGGGAGGAGGGTTTAGGTCGTACTCTCTTATCCTCGTGCACAGAAATGCTCAGGGTCCCCGTGTGCCTGTTATTCATTCCTCTCTTGTCTCTTGTTCCCTTTCTGAGCATGTGGTCCCTCCCAAGTCATGAGACAGTTGCCTTCTTTTGAAAGTGTTAAGCAGTATTAAGATCATTACTGCATGTGTGCTGAAAATCCAAGTTTTCTGTTCCCTTGGGGCAGAAAATTGCATGTAAAAGGTGAGATAATCAAGTTTCAGTGACCCATGTCAATTACACAGCAAAACCAGACCCCACAATGAAACCCCACAAAATGGAGATAAAACTCAAATTTCTTTAGCATTGTGTAAATAAATCTGATGTGTTTAACTTTGTACTGGTAATTTTCTGTATATTTGCAATATTTGGGTTAGAAATAAAACAGACTAGACTTTGTTACTTGACCGACTGAGATGACTAAGCTATAGTTTATTAATATGACAGATTTTCCAGGCTTCTAGCTTCGAAAAATCAAACCCCAGGGACCCATAAAGAAGCCATTTAGAGAGTCAGGACCGTGCATTTCTACAATGAAAAATATTAGATAATCTGTGTTGAAAATGACTCCCCATAAATTATCTGATTTTTTTTGTTCTCCATTATCTTGTTCTTTATGTTCATAAAGATCTACCTCTCCTGGCATTTATTCTCACCTTCAGAAACTCCAGCAGACCTGCCTACATACCTAGGCTTTCTCTTGCTACTCTCTTCCTTCTCAATACACCAAGTATCTTTACTGTCCTGAATTGTGTTCCTTGTGGCAGGCTTGACAAATGACAGCATTAAAATTTAACCTTCATAGCTTTTAACCTTCATGGTCTACTCCTTTTAGATTTTTCTTGCTGCACTTATTCACGGTCCTTCAAAGAGCAGCAGCTTTCTTCTCTTCCAAGTGTTGCCTGTAGGAGACTTCCTGCCCACCTGCCTAGAGCCTTTAGCCATTCTGCTCTGCTGTTCTGGGCCATTATTTCCATTTAATGCTGCAGCACCTTGGTCTGGAGATGACAGGGCAAAGCCCTTATTCTTAAAGAGACCACCCTCTGGTGGGAGAGTACCTACCCCACAGGATTATCTATGGCAGTTTTTGTTTAAAGAATTTTAACATAGGGCCAGGAATTTTGCTCAGTGGTTCTGCCACCTGCCTCACAAGCAGAGGACCTGAGTTCGATCCCTGGTACCAAAGAAATAAAAAAGCTAACATAATGTTCTAAGATTTACAATGTTCAGAACCAATAGGTTGCTTTCTTAAAAGTGCAGATTCCTGGATTCTAGCCCAGACCTACTGAATTAAGACTTTACAATGGGAAGACCCAAGAAATCTGCATCTTACCTTCCTTGCAACAAAGGTCTAAGACTGAAAGTTTGGTCCAATCCAATTTCCTCACCAAAACAGGGTTGAGTGTAGTATGACAAGGGGATCCCCTCATATGACAATTACTCATACTTCTAGGGGATTTGGCTGGGTCAGACAAGAGAAATAGGTCAGGGAGACCATCGTATTAGTTCTGAGAGGCAGAAATCTAGCCTTTTACCAATCAAACGAGACCCAGAAGTCAACCTACTCAGCTGCCCTTTTCTGCCATCCCAGGGCCTGACAAATATGTTCCTGACTCTGCAGTATATCTATAGGTTGTCCTAGACCATAGACCCTATGTAGATTACAAAGGGGCTGGGCTTCTGTCACTCCAAGATAATAACAAAGGCTCCAGGAATCTACTGACTGCACCCCCAAGTTGGGAGCGAGAATAAGTAAGGAGCCCATGCATTCTACAACACTGATCCCCCCCACCGCACCCATGGAAAAAAGGGCATGGGGGAGGGAAATATGGGCACCCTGCTTCCACTCAACTTTGCTGTGACCCTAAAACTGCTTTAAAAGTATATTTTTAAAAAAAAATACAGAGGAGATGCTGACTTCTGGAGACAGGAAAGTGGGAATATGACAGGAAACCAAATAATTTGGATGGAGTATAAGACACATGTAGAACAAGGGTTGGGTACACCAGGAAACCATATGGGCCTTTAGTGCATAACTAGCACCTACTATGGGCTGGCCACTTTCCTGTATTTTATCATTGTATCCTCTATGATCATGACATCAGCGTCCCTTGATTCATACATAGAACTGTGGCTCAGAGCACCAGCTGGTGACTGAGTGGTACAGCCAGAAGTGGTACAGCAGAGCTCTCTTCCCTCCACCCCTGCTGCCTCCCACTTCATTTATGCTGTATCTCAGGAAGGGAGCCATTGACAGCTTTCAAAGGGAGAAATGATGGCCTGACCTAAAAATAGCTTCCATTTATCAGGCACTTTGTCAGCTACACTCTACTAAGCGCTTTACAGAGATTACCTCTTTTAATCCTCACAATAACCTTATGGTTATTATTATCTCCATTTTACAGATGAAAATACAGACTTAAGAGACTAAGGGCTGGGGATATAGCTCAATAGTAGAACACTTGTCTAGCATGCTGTGTTCAACCTCCAGCATGAGAGAGAGAGACTGTTGTGTTGGAAGTCACACAGGTAGGTGTCACAAAGCCCATATACAGTCCAGGTAGTCTGACCACAGGGTGCAGACTCTACCCACCAGTGCAGGCACTGCCTTTGAAGGGTGATGTTACAAAGAGAGTGAGCAGAGGGATTGAAGCAGGTCCTGAAGGTCAAAGTAGTGAGACACTACTGAATGTGGGAGCAGCTAAAGGTGTGCCTGTGAATCAGCGGATCTTGGGATCTGAATGCCTTTCTGGATGAGCCAGAGGTCAGGAGCTGAGATGTCACCTGGTCCTCCCAACAGAAGCCAGAGGTCCCTTTTGGATGTTCTGTGCTCAAGCTCTTTCCTCCCTCCCTAGCACTGTGAGGGGTGTCATCTCTCTCCCAAGATAACAGAGCCACCTCGGCCCTCTTCCTGTGGCTATTCTGGGCTTCTCTCTGATCCTCCTCTCTTCCCCTAACCCATACTTCACCCTTCTGCTGGGGGTAGGTAGGTGGGGAAAAACCAGCCCACTTACATAAGCCTGTGGCTGGGACCCCAGAGGCCAGTCTGCAGAGCAGGTGCTCAGCCCCTCCCTCACCAACAGTGACAGTCGTCTGCTGGAGCCCAGCCTCTGGGTTGGCCCAACATGGAGTCAGCCACAACTCCAGAGGTGGCCTTAGGCTCCAAGCTGAAAGTGGAAGAAGCCCGCCCAGCCGATGCTGAAGGACCTCGGGTTTCACCTCAGCAGGGGCCGTGCAGCCCCACTCCCCAGCTCCTGCCTCAAATAGAAGGTGACTCACGGCTGTTGGTGAGGGGTGGGGGCCAGGTAGTAGGAGTTGGAGGGGGTCTTTCCTACTGCCCTGACTATACTTCCTTAGGTTTTTGAAAAGCTTAACATCTTTTGGGGATCTGTACTTAGGATACAGGCTTATTCTCTGGAGACCCCGACCTCTTCCTTGAATTCTTACTTGCTGCTCAAGTGTCTTTGCTGTGTTTGGGCTTTTTAGCTAAGAAGCCAGTGAATGTAGTTTGTGGCACTTTACAGTGACTAAAAATGATATGTTGACATTTTTACCTTTAAAAGGTGTCTGTCACAGGGCTGGGAAGACCTGATATACTAATGACCAGTCAGGAAGGGCATGAGGGGTGAGACAGTGGCTGTCTGCTGTAGGAGAAGAGGGAATCCAAAAGCTGTTGGCACTGGGAGGCTATCAAACAGCAGTGACACTCAGCTGCTCCCTGGGCAGTATCACGGCACTGGGACCCACTCCGACACCTCCACTGGCTCCCATAGGAAAATCCTGGCCTCTCAGAGTTGGAGAAGTGGAGCCCTTCTGGGATGAGCTAGATTTCCCTTTCATGATGGTCTCAGCAAAAAGGTATTCTGAAGCCAGCAGGTGCTTGGTGCCTCTTCCAACCCCCACTGCCCTGTTGCCATCCCCAGCCCTAATTTTCCTGGCCAAGGCCTCCGTAGCTCACCTGGCAGCCCCCAGGAGCCAAGAACAGGTAGTTCACTTGCTGCACGTGGTTCAGCACACCAGAGAGAGAAGGTAGAAGCCAGCTCCTCCCTCCTGCATGATAATTTTCAGAAGCAGCCACAGGGCTATAATGAATGTGTACTAGAGCTGCTAAAAGAACTAGCTTTCAGCACTTGAAGTCTTAAGTGCAAACCATGCAAAGACCACAAACGAGAGACCCATGGATTCCCAGGGTGTGTAGGAGGAAAAGAGGCATTCTGGACTTGAAGGCTACAATCTGGGTTCCATTCCCAGTGCTGCCTCTAACAGATCTGTGACCTTAGACAAGTCAATTAACTGCTCAGTTTCAGTTTCCTTTCTGTAAAATAGTGATTGAGAAACATCTACCTAGTAGGGTAGTTGAAAGGATTGCTGAGATAACCCAAAGTCCCTTGAAAGAGGCTAAACCAAAACACGAATAGATAATACTTCCAAGTCAGGGACAAAAGCCAAAAGTTCTACCTCCAAACAGGGTCATGTGAAAAAGCTCTCTATCTTTTGTCATCCTAATGGAAGATACTGGGTTTGTAAAAGTCACTGGAATGTCAAGGACAGAGAGTTGGTCGAGTTCATCCCATTTGAAGAAGAGCTGCGAGGAGCAGAAGTTGTTGTGAACATATCAAGGTGAGGTGATTGAGGCAGAATACCAATTTCTTCTTCTAGAATGAGCAGAGAATAGGTCCCAGGCAGAGAGTGAGACCAGGACTGCTGACTCCCCATCTCTCTCTGCTGGTCTCCCCAAAGCCCTGGGGCAGCACTCACCTCGCCCAGGCTCTGCTCTCAGTTTCAGGGTGTGACCGTGATGGGAGCAGCTAGCCTTGACAGCCCCTGGCCACCTGGAGCCCTCTGTCTTCGTGTGTGGCAGCAATGTACACTACAGGCCTCAGGGCCACCAGGCGGTGGCTCAACTGAGTCGTATCCCAGAGGTGACTGGTAAGGACAGTCTTTGACACTCTGATTGACCAATTGAATGACTGATGCATTGATTGATTGATGTCTTTTGAACAGGGTCTCATTCTGTAGTTCAGGCTGACCCTGAACTCACTATGTAGCCCAGGCTGACCTCAAACCCATAGCAATCCTCCTCCCTCAGCCTCCCCAGCTCTGGGATTACAGGCATGTGCCACCTCAGCCAGCAACACTTTGTAAAGTATGTGTCCATCTGTTAGCTTCTTGGAAAAAGAAGACAAATTCAAGTCCTAGCTCTGTTCTGCCACCCTCTAAGCTGATCAATCCACCTCTCTGGGCTCCATGTTTCTCCATCTGTAAACTGAAAAGTTGACCTAAATCTGTATCTTAACCTTTTTAATGGCTGTGGGCTGCTATGAAAACTTTGGACTTTCACCCCAGGAAAAACACACCAAAAAAGTTCAGGGAGTCCTCAGAGCCTCTGATGTCCATCCAAAGATTCTTCAAGATGCCAGGCACCTGGACCAGATAGCCTCTAAGTTCTCTGTGAGCTCCAAAGACTTTCTTCTTCCTAATTCTCCTCTTACTCATAAAGGGCTCTGGGTCTGAGATGGGCACTACGATGAGCAGTGAGAGTTTGAGAAATTTGCAAGATCAAAATAAACTGCCACCAACCAACAATAAACCTTCAGTAGAGCAAGCCTACTTAATGTCTAAACAAGCAGGACTAGGTGGCCACCACTGGTAACCAGTTCTTTGCTCAGCACAACACTCAGGCACTGTGTCCTGCTTGGCAGGGGCCAGAGGGTGCTTCTAAAACAGTGAGAGGTTACATCCCTGACATGGAGAAGATGAGACCCTGAGACAGAAGAGGGGGTGCCCAGCTACTGGTTTTAGCAAAATCGCTTCCCATCTTCCAATCTGAACTGTTCTGCATCTTCCAGGCATAGGAAGGTGAATCTCAACCCTGCGAACAAGTTTTTCCTTCCTCCCTCCTTTCCTTCCTTTCTTCTGTCTCTTTTCTTTCCATATTTATTTTTATACCTATTATGTGCCAGGTAATGTTCTAGGTACCAGAGTTACAGAAATGTACAAAATAGGCAAGAATTATCACCCTTGGAGAGGCTATATTCTACTGGAGAGAGACAATAAATAAACAAGTAAAAAGTATGTCAGATGGTGATAAATGCTATGCCAAAAATAACGCAGGCAAAGGGATAGAAAGTTCTGGGGACTAGAAGCATGCAAGCTTCCTGTTTCAAACAGGACATCAGTGAAAGCCTCACTAAGAAGGTGGTATTTGAACAGCAGTGTAACAGAGGTGAAGGAGCAATACACAAGCACAACAAATGCGAAGACCCTGAAACAGAGGTGACCTTTCTGGGTTGGAGCCACTGTGGCTGCAGCCCAGTGAGGGAGACAGTGGTAAGATTGGGGCAGAGAGTTAATAGGGCCATTGTGAAGAGTTGGATTTGACTCAGAGACAGATGGGCAACCAGTGCAGAGTTTCAAGTCAGGACTGACGTGATCAGATACAGGTTTTAGGGATTTTTCTGGTTACTGTGCTAAGAATAAATGTTAAGTAGGTCTGAGACACTAGCAAAATCAACATAGAAGGAGAAAGGTTGAGGGGGTTTTAGAAGAGGAAGGTGTGCACCAGTCACCCAAAAGAACATGACGTCAAGTGAACTTGGGAAGTCTAATAGAATTGTCAGGGTCCATTGGGAGGCAGTGTTCACTGTTACTGGCCATGCAGTTTGAGCTGGCACCCTATGGTATGCCATGTGTGTCTCTGCTTATGCAGCACTGAGGGGGTGGAAACTTTAAGCAGAGTTGGGTATTCCAGGAGGATGCAATAAAGTGAAAAAGCATTAAGGAATTTGAGTATGCAAGAGAACATCATAATGACCATAGACTCCAAGTTGGATGGGAAAGGAAATGATAACATGGGAGATAAACTAGATAGTGGAAGAGAGGGAGAATCAAAGACATCAGTGGTGCTAAAAAAATTGCTGATGCTGCAGCATTAGAGGAAATCAGCTAAAGGAATAGAGATTGCATTAGGTGGGGTTGATGAAACAAATCTCAGAAATAATAGATTTTTTTTTTAACATCTAAGAACTGAAAACAAGTGTGCCTCTTCAGTGGATAGTTCTCCATGCAGCAATTTAGGGACATGGATTTTTTTTCTGTGGTAGGTTTGCCATTCCTAAAGGTACTGTGATTGTCTGCATACAGAGAGCAGAAGGGGAACATAAAGTACTTACTTCTTAGAGTCCTTGGCCCAGAAATGATTCCCACCATTTCCACTCATTGTCCATTATTAAGAACTAGTTTCCTGTTCTACAGCAAGGGGGATGGGAAATGTGCCCAGCTGGGCAGCTACTGTACTTCTCAAAAATGACTACTCTTTGGAAGGGAGAAGATCAGTTTTGGTGGACAGTTAGCTGACTGTTATAAAGGCAGTGAGGGGGTGGGATGCTTCCAATTCAGATCACAGAGGGGCTGCAGTTTCTGGAGTAGAGAATGACCATTGGGTCCGGTGGCTAACAGGACAAAGGCAATGGCAGACCAGAATGTGAGAGGGCATGCAGAGGTTGGAAGAAAGCATTGAAATCACTAGGAAGGAGGACTACAGCAGAGTTGGAGATACAGGCAGTAAGCCAGGACTAAAACCACCAACCATGAGGGCAAGACTAATGGTGGGGCTTGAGGGTAGAAGTAGCAGAGTCTTTCTCTCAGAGAATGTTCCCTGTTTCTCTGCCTCTTATTTTTCTGACCTTCATGATCTTCGAGGAGATGCCACTCTTGTCCTTCACAAGATTCTTCTGAGATCACCACACTCCTTTCTCATCACAGTCCTTCAGACAGTTTTCCAAGGCCAAGACCACATCCTAGACATTTACAAATGTTTCTCTAAAAAATGCTGGTACTTCTGGGATCCCTGGAAATGTTGAGTTTCAAAGCTACAGCTGGTCTTGGGCATTGTCCTTTTTTTTTTTTTTTTTTTTTGGTACCAGGGATGGAACTCAAGTCCTTGCGCTTGTGAGGCAGGCAGTGGAACCACTCAGCCAAATCCCTGGCCCTATTGTCCTTTTTTGGTAACCATATTCTCATACAGGCACGTGTTTGTGTATTTGCACACACTCATACAAACAGACATACACCTCCAACATGTCTGACTTCCTTCTTCACTCTCAGGCCATAGTCAATAACATCAGTCTGAATGACATGGCCTTTGGGAACTGCTGGAGGAAAGTCTCTAACCATTTGAAAAGAAATTATGAAGCTCAATCCCTGGTACCAAAAAAAAAAAAGAAAAAGAAATTATGAGAGGGTATTTATCAATTATTAACAATTATTAC